TGCAACCTGTACTCCAATGTTGGGATGTGCATCGTGAGATGAACTAAAGTACATTTCTTCTTACACATGTACGTTAACGGTAAATACGGGATATGTAAAAAATCCCATTGTACATTCCTTTCAAACTTTGTTATAAAATGTTTCCTGAGTTAAAGATGTCATTCACAAAAAAAAAAAACATTCATCTGTTTTTCCTTTTCTGTTCATCTCTATTCGTTTTACCTAAAAACACTCACATTTAAGAATGTATACCCCTAAAAATGTCCCAATTCAAAACCTGCCGCGTGTAATTTGCTTCTGATTATAAAACCTTGCATGAAGACTCCAGAGTTCTCTGAAACGGCTCTGAGGTGCTGACCCTGACGTTCGCTTCGGGGCTTTCTGTGTTAAAACCGCCGCAGTTACTTGGGGCGTCTCTCCTCTCCCAGCTTGCCATCTATCTGTGTTCGTCTCGCTCTCTCTCTACCAGCCGTTTGGTGCAAGTTAATGGTCTCCTCCACATTTAGCTTGGGAATGTTGTGAAGTAAACAGCCACTCATAAAATATTCACTGCTCTCCTTTAGGCCGTGTGTTAGAGAGAGAGTGCGTGTGCGTGCGTGTGCAGTCAGGTATACCCAACCACGCCCGGTGACTCCCAAACAAGCACTCATGGGCTCACACGTGCATATGAAATGTGGGGGCGCCCCCCACTACCCCCCCCCCTCCCCCAAAACAAGCTAACGGTGTGTCTGCATCTCGGCTCGGAGCCAGCTGACGAGAGAAAACGAGCACTGGGAGTCTGAGTGTTCTGCTGCTGCATGAGTCAGACGTTTGCTGCTATTCACATCGATTCAAATAAATAAACAAGTCGCTGAATAACACTGAAAAATGTAATCCGAATGTTTTTGTTGCAAATGGCAGAAGAACAACGGCGGCAACATTTCCGGGTTTCAATCACGTGAAACTTTGATTCAGGATTTTCATTATGTGGTGACTTTGGTTCCGGTGCCTGTGCGTCAGTATGTTTCATCCTCTGACATCGGCGTGATCTATTGCTTGGAAACTGGGGTAGAGGCCGAAAGGTCGCCGGATTCAAACTCCCGACCAGCTGAGAAAACAGCCCACAAAAAAGCTGCTCGGTGGCCATTTGTAGCAATACTTGGCCGCGCCACGCGGCTATCGGGCGGAGCCGAGTGCGGCTTTATGGCAACAACGACAGCTGTTCCTCGAGAACATTGTTTTGGACATCATTCCTGGATGAGTAATGGTCACAAAGTGCAGCCGGAGTTGATGTTCCTCTTGCTGCATCCGTGTCGACCAAATGGCTGCGAGAAGCCCCGCCCCCCCTGTTGTGCTCATGAGCTGGTACAGAGGATCAGACGTCTCAAACCAAACCGGGCCAAAGCCCGAATAGAACATTCATTTCATGCACCGTTGACAGTATCGGCACAAGAATACAGCTGCTGTCCAACCGTCCAGATAAAGAAGCCGCTTTTTTTTTTGTGTTTCCATTTCTCTCCCCCCACTGGCATCCTTTCAATGCTACCCTGTATTTACTCCTGATCATCTGATAACTGTTGTTCTCCACCCGTGCTGCATAAATCTTTCCCTCTCACGGTTGCCCGTAGCAACACACGCTAACCCACTCTCCCGCACCAGCGTGGATCAGAAGTGACACACAGGTTATGCATATAAATACGTAGAGAGGGCGGGCGGGAGGGAGGGAGTTGGTATAAATGACGCTTCCTTGCAGTTGTCCTCAAGCTGTAGCGATCGTGTTCGTGAAGTGGGAGCCGTCCTCAGCCGAGCGCCATGCATAATTCAGCGGCGGGGCCTCGTCGCGACGCTCATTGCCTGGAGACCGGAGCGCGCTGATGGATGACCTCTGCCGCGACCCGAGTCAAGTTGAAGATTAACCAGCAGGACGGAAAACGGGTCGTTTTCTTTCTGACCGACCCACCACTCCCCCCCCCCTCTCGGGGGGCCATGCGTGTTGCTGCGGCACAAGGGCATCCAGTGACGGCGGTGACAATCGTCCCCCGCGGTGCCGCGTGTACCACGGCCAGCCTCTACCGGCCGAGCCCCCCTCCCCCATCTCCGGGGTTGCCGTGGAAGCGAGGCGAAGGGCGTTGTGGGAGACGGATGATGATTTGAGAGCGTGCGGGAGGATGATTTGGGGAGTGAGAGTTCAGGTGGAGCAGAGCGGTTACGAGCAGTAAGGACCCACTTCATCCGGTGACATATTCTATTACGTCCGGAGATCTCGGAACCATATTTCCATTTGACTCTGAAGCTGATTGAAGAGGGGCCCGGTGGAAGAAAAGAAGATTCCTCTAAAATCCCACTGTCAGCAAATCTGTCACACTTCATCATTCTACTGTGGAGAAGCTTTTCTTTTTCTTTTTTTATCAAACTGACATTATTATAATTCCCGATATTTATGCCCCCTGTCCATGGCGACTGAAGTGCAAATGTGAGAAGTTTGAGAAAATGCAAAAATCTTTAGCGCTGGTTTCACTCTCGGATATCTCTGGAATATTCAAAGTCGTCCGTGAAAATGAAACCGCGTATCATCTTGTCTTTAATAAGGCCACATTCTGCTGACACGGGACTCGATAGAGCGCTCCTTCTTTTACTTATCAAACAGCAATCTATCAAAGGGGGGCCATCAACGTGTTTCTTCTCCGCCAAGAAAGACATGTTAAAAATAAACGGTAAAAACTGAGTAAACGGTAATTGCCGAGATGTACGTACAAAAAAAGACGTCTCAAATCATAAAACCAAACAAGGCGATAAACCTCCCGATTTCTTTTTTTTTTTTCCCCTCTGAAGCGGAGTACGTCTCTTTTAATAATGATCATTGGGTGCTTCCAGTATCTAATTACAAGTGGCTGATCTCGGGTTCTGTTACCTAACCTTTACACACCGAGCTACGCTCACATTACTCACAGCGCACACACACACTTCTCTGCACACACACAGCAAATGCACCTTAATGTGTAACAGTTTCACCAAAAGCGTCTGCAGCAACTATTCTGCTGCCGTTTCCCATAATCGAAAAACAACATCGATGACCTTTTAGTGTGATTAATGTGTTTTTCAATGTGGTTGAATTGACTTTTTTTAATACAAAGAATATTTGCTCTGTGTTTTTAGGGCAATTAAAGGCACTCCAGCTATTAAGTGATGGACTTTCAAAAAGTTAAAGACAAATTATAAAAGAAAAGTCCTCATCAAAGCAACCAAGGCCGAGATATTCAGATTTTTTTGTCCCCAGAATTTAAAAAAAGCTACAAGCTTCAATTTCTAAAATGGAATTCCATTAAGGTTATATTAGATCACCCATACCTATTAAACCTCAATTCTTCCATTGTAACCCAGTATTTCTCTCACACACAGCTACACCCTGATGACCTCAGCAGCGCTTGTAAATAAACCAGACTCCTTTTAATGCATTTTGTTATATTCGGTTGTGTATCGCAAACTTGACTAGCTGCTACCCGAATTGACAACCACTGCACCATTAATGACTCTATGACATTATCAGGACAAAAATGTGTCCCATATTCTCTATATTCTTCGCGGTTGCCTGCCTCCCCCAACGCTTTCATATTTATCAATTTTAGTCTACTGTGCACAAACCTTACTATGGCTCCTCAAACACAGTGACAAGGGTTTTGGCAGGCTGCCTTTTAGTAAAGTCCCAGTTGTGCATTAGCTGGTGGAGTGCAACCCTCTCACGGCTTTTTATTTTTACATAATAAAACACAGCTCAGCACTTCTTTGTGCCGCATGCATAAAGAGGAGCCACCCTTGTGTCAGCCTGGGTTAGTCACAACGGGAGCGCCGGCGAGGAAGCAACGTCTGCACACCTTTCAATAATACCACATCATTCAATGAGAAACGAATCGCTGCTGCTTCATTCTGAGCAGCCTCTCCGGTGTTACAGCACGCCACCGTTTAGCTCCGACATACCTCGGCGTGCCGCCATGGCGAACGGGATGAGCGACTGTTAACCCACTTCTGTGCTGCCTGACGAAGCGCGCCGGAGAAACACTTTCCTCCTTCTGCCACGCTCCAAGGCGGAGACACTGAGACATGTCGATCAAGCACATGCACGTCTTCCCACCACCGATCGCACCGAGTCCTGAGATGCCTGCTTGGCATTACTCCAGCGCGCTGCGGTACACGTCCAGAGATGATGGCACACGCGCTCGCACACACCTGCCACTCTCGTCACATGACTAGTTCCAGTTGCGTGACTCTGTCTCGGCGGGTTGACAGCGAAGGTTGCTTCGTAAACAAGGCGCCCGTCTCGGGCCCCCTGCTGCTTTGGGATGAAGGGAACTGATATTATTTATTTTTTTCTTCCCTGCGCTCCATTCAGTCACCTTGGCGATCTTGCGTTCCCCTAACCTCCGTGGCCGAATGTAACTGGCATTTGGTGGAGTGAAATACTAGAACTTTTTTAGGGATTTTGGCCTTCACCAAACCAACCCATTACTGCTCTGGGTTTAGCAGTGCTTTACTTAGAGTGAGGAAGAAAGCGGTTGTGGTTGAAGCTGTGGTACGGGTAATGAGGAAATAACACATCCTTGGTTGTGTGATGCTTATGGATGTGTGCGCAAGCGAGACCTTTCGGGAACTGTGGGTGTGTGAGAGAGCGGGATCGGCAGGACTTTGGAACTGAACATCCTTGTCCTGCCTCGACAGCAATGCAGCTTCCTGAAGCTCAGGGATTGCACATCACTATATAAATGCAAATTGCTGTGTCATGCTGATCCATCCTGTAGGCTGCAGAGGGGGGGTTTACTCGGTAGCCGTCCGCTGCATCCTGGTGTTATTTGTTGGTCTGTTCTGTGCACTCCGTTTCCATATAGCACGTCTCATACGCTGCACCACGCCTTTGCTTTTTTTAAATGTGCTTTTGTCAGACACACACACGCACATAAAAGGTAAGAGAAAACCTCGTGCAATAAGCTCAGCTAACCCCCCCTATGTCTTTCTTTGTTTTCCGACAGGACACAACTCCAGTAAAGGAATCCTCTGGGACTGGGAGGAAACGGCGAGGCGGTGTGGGACAACCTGGTCCACACGGAGCTGGGCGGAGGGGAGGAGACACCGACGGGGCCGTCTTACCGCAGGCATCTGAGCGTGCCAGCCATGCTTTAGCACTCACAGAAAAGGCTTGTCCATAAGCTGGAGACACACCCGGCGCACGGACACACATCTCTTCCCCCCCCCATCCGCCGTTTAGTGCACACCGCCCGGGCGAAGATGCCAGAGCCAAGGTTGTGGCACTTGTGGTGACTGGGCACAGAGTGCGTGTGCGCACATCCGGCAGGCAGGCCGTGGGGTCGGCGCGTGTGCAGGCACTCCGGGAAGGCTTTTTTTTAGGGGGGCGGGGGGTGGGGGGGCGAGGTTGGCACCATGCGGCCCTGGGCGGGGTCATGGCGGTGGATTACCCTGGTGCTGTTGGCCTGGGGCACGCTCCTCTTCTACATCGGCGGCCACCTGGTGAGGGACAGCGAGCACCCCGAGCGGTCCAGCCGGGAGCTCTCCAAGATCCTGGCCAAGCTAGAGCGGCTCAAGCAGCAGAATGAAGACCTGCGGCGCATGGCCGAATCGCTCAGGTAAACCACCAGCCAGACGCCAAGCACGTTGAGTGTCTTTGCATGCACACCAGAGTGGGACATTGCCCCAAAAGACAAAGGGGGGGGGGGATGCGTGGTGCTCAGCACTCCCTCAGAGCGTGTGTTTAAGTTAGCTGCTAGCTCTGTTAGCCGGGCCCCGCTCACACCAACAACTTTTATACATACATGCAATTGTCTTAACTGGACGTGCAAACGGGGGAAGGGGATTTAGCACAGAGTTCTAGATGAGCACGAACAACGGTAGGCTGAGGGGTCCAGCAGTGTGCGAGAGGAGCTTTTGACAGACAGACGCACACATGGATGCAAATCCATGTTTGTTCTGGTGGGTGTAATGATGATAACAATAATGATAGTCAGACACAACGTCTGATTTTGAAATAAGATCATCCCTTTTAAGTTTTTGCAGGTCCAGCGGTGAAGTACATACTCCAGCTCCCTAGTAGTCCAACATTAAGAATCCACTAATGAGGCATTCTGACGATTGTTTTTTTTTAGTTTTTGTGAAAGTCTAATCAGTACAAGATTAAATCATTATCCCAAGACATCGCTGCAAATGGAAATTTCATTTAATTTCATCCAAAGCCGATGGGCTGTGCCGTAGATGCAGTGTGCGACAGACAGACGGATGGACTGTCCCGCACGTCGCCGGATTTCATCATGTTATTTTGGCAGACAGCGCGTCGACCACGCGCCACCGTTCACACAGGCTACGTGTAACAGAAAGACAGATGGCTCTGTCCTTACACGCACCAACCCTGAGCGCGGCCGCGGCTGTGGACGACACAGTGGGCATGCGCGTGCGCTCAAATGTCTCCTGGTAGTTGCCGTATCTACGGGCAACTCGAGCTTCAGATGTTGCCATCGCTGCTCTTCTGTGATATTCCGATTCCCTTTGATGCAGGGCCCCTGGTTGGTACACACGCACACAAACATACAAAAAAAAACAGACAGCTGGTCCCTGATTAAATCCCTTGCTTTTGTAATTATTTAGAATTGGCTCAAAAAACAAAGGTGGAATTAATGGCATGAAAAACAAGTGCTTTTTTTTTTTTTTTCAGTCGACCAGCGTCCAGATGGGTCCCCGACACACGGCGAGCTTGTTGCTTGTTATTAGTGCGATAGTTGACCCTGGACTCGGGCCTCCACAGTTGTTTACTGGGGCAGCGGTACGGTGCCTCCTCAAGTCCCTCTAAGCCACAGCTTCAACCAGGTACCTGGCACAGCGAGCCCAAAGCAGGCCACTGGCTCGCCCAGATTAAGCTCCATGAGCTGTCCAGTTCAAAAGTGTTTCTGTGCGTGTGTCCCGAGAGAGTACTGCACCTCCCTGGAGTGGTTCGGTCCTTCTAGGGCCCTAATATACGCAAAGAGGCAGTTAGTGAGCTGCCCGTCAGTCGTGCCACTGGCCCCGGTTCACTCCTTCTCCCTCCCTCATCACTCACTCGCCTCCAAATTCCACTACTAAAAGTGCTGACAGCTGCACGGCAGCCAGCCAGACGCCAGCGTGTAGGTTGTCCGACTGAGTACTGATCGACGTGCTCCCGGCGCGCCGAACCCCGATTCGCCGACTCACACACGTTCTGCAGTTCCGGGCTGAGAAGATTCGCTGAATGTTGCAGAAAAGACGGAACCCGTTTTCCCTTCCCGCTGACATTAGATCGTAAAGGTTTCATCCGAAGCACCCTACATTTTTTTTATGATTCCATCCTTTTGTGTTGAGAATCCCACGACGTTGGGAGTGCTTTATAGTACAGAGGGGGGATTTAACCACACACATTCATCAAATACCTGAAGGGATCTTGTTTACATTTTCTCGTTCAGGCTGATGCAGTTGCATGAGATATTGATTTTTAAATAAATTTTTTCTAATCACAAAATGCACTTTTTTCATCACTGAGAGGATGAAGGCACAAAGTAAGTCGACCTGCTGAACATATTCATAGCACACTGCTCATCGGGTTTATCTAGCTCTGCTGAGTGCAAACGTCATGTGCAATCAATCAATCACCACTCTGATTCAAATTACTATCACCTGCCTGGCCTACAGATTCAGTCCAGTGATTCGGTTATTCAGGCCACCCTTAAGTGATTTGAGTGACAGGCAACGCGCCAACCTACCAATCACCCCGCAGCATTAATGAGAGGTGATCGCCAGGTCGAGTTGCTCCGTCTGTCTGGCTCCGCCCTCTCCGCGGCTGTCAGTCACCTCGGGCGCGAAGCCACGGCTCTCGCGGAGACAGTGACACGCGCCGGCCCGGTGGTGTGACATCGGAGGGAGCGAAGGTTGAGAGTGACAGCTGGGCTGAGCGATGAGGACCTGATCGATTTCCCCCCCGCCTCCACCCGGGCATGCCAACATAGGGTTGGAGGGAGGGGAAGGGGAGGCGAATCATGATGGATGGCGTGAGGACTGCGCCAACGGAAATGCAGCAAGCAGGAAAAATGCGGTGGCGGTGGGAGGAGTTGTGAAGGCTGCCGTCGAATGGCCCTGAGATCTCGTGTGGAACCTTTTGCATCTCTGCGTCATTTGGGGCCCTGTGTTGCAAGTAAATCAGATTCATTCAAATTCATTTACAAAACTGTAAAAAAACGTACGTACGCAGTTTGGTGCGCTGGAACCGATGTCCACCTGTAAAGTTCTCGAGCAGCATGTTGGATCACTGATTAAACATCAAGTTAAACCCGGATAGTGAAGGCAAGAGTCACACTTGTTTCGACCATTTACCTTACTTCCATTACCACGCTGGTGAAAACTATAGACAACACAAAACGTTCGGTAGACATCAACCTGGACATTACTGAGGCCCAGCTGGAGAAGGTTGACCACACACACACACACACACACACATTAGCCCCGTTGGTGGAGCTGTGGGTTGTCAGCTCATCTCTGTGGAGCAGGGCTCGGGTGGAGCTGGCTCGCCGTGGCCGCGCTGAGGCTTCACTGCAGGCGACGTGGGAATGCACCGCGCCGAATCGCTTTACTCTGAACCGTACCGTTTAGGTCAGTGGCCATAACAGGAAGACTGCAGAGGAAGGCGATGTCAAGGATTACCTGATTAGACACAATGAAGAAACATTTGCATGAACACAACCGACGCACTGTAGCACATGCACAATGCACAATGCAGTATTGTACAGTCGTGCACGTTTTTTATTGTTCCGACCGGATGTTCCGCCGTGTTTACCCTCATGTTCCCACCGACACGTTCCCGTGGCTTATTAGCTTGACTTATTGGAGTCAAGTGATGTGCTTGAACACAGTTGAGTTCACAGCAACGTTTGGGACGGATCCGTTCCTTCTGCGGCGCGTCCCCGGATGTAGTTGGTGCAGAGCGAGGCGACGTGAAATCAAACGCCCAGTTCAGATTTTTTTTTCTTTTTTTTTTTTTAAGGCAAATTGCGTTCACGTAGCCTGCTTTCATCTACGCCTCCCCGAATACTTTACATCTCCATCCATATGCATGGCTTCCCAGGTCAGCGCATCGGGTTTTCTTTGAAGTGGAGCAGATTACATTAAATCGAACAGCAGAAATATGGATGAGTCACAGTGCCACCCGGGCCGCCGACAATCAAACCGCTCCGCCCGGCTCTGATCGCCGTGTGAACTTCACTGGTTACCGGATGAGGGGGGGCGGGAGCCCGTGGAGCAGCCGTACCGCCATTTCAGAGGAAACTGGGTCGCACGCTGATCCTCACCTGCTTCTGTTTTTTTTGGGAGGGGCTCAGTGCTGTGGCTCATCGGGCCCTGCTGCCATAGCTCGTCTTTTAGTCCGCAGTATGTTACAGTTTTAGCAACACTTAAAGCCCCCAGGGAAATGATGTCATAGTCTGCCTGAACAATGGAAGGGTGGGTTAGGGTGTGGCCTGTGGGAGATCGAGTTGATTATTGTTTGAACGGATTGAGCTACGGGAATAGAGGTAATACTCGAGGAGGAAATTGAACTGGGTCTTATTTCAAGAGATCTGGGACAGGAAGGTGGAGTGAGCAGTCACAGGTTTCCCAGAGAGAGGAAGTGTGAACTTTAAGGCAAATGTATCCCCGTGATGCAAAACGTGTGTGAAGGTTTATCTCCGTCGATCATTCCGTTACATAATCATTCCTTTTCCGTAATTTCTCCGCCTGCTCAGTGAGTGCGCCGTTAAGTCGAAGGCCACGGCTCCCCACTGATGGAGGCTTGAACAGAGAGGAGGGTGGAGGGTGGGGGGGTATGCAGCAAGACGGGTCGATGCGACTCCTCTTTATGCCTGCCAGCGACTGCTGTTCCTCACTCATGGAGCAAATTGAGTTTGCATGCCTTGATGACTCATTAGCATGGCCTTTTGCAGCATTTCCCCGATGCCCCGGTGCATTCAAACATATTCTATTTGTAACGTTTTTGTGTAGAGGAATTTATTGTGCGTAATGTCAGCTCCTTGTTTGTTGTTGGCTGATTTCACGTGTATGTTCTATGTTGACTTGTGGATGCATTACATGCACACGGTAGTGTTCATTGTTCATCGACAGTGTTTAAAATGTGTTTTTACCCATGTTAAATAGTTAACGAGGCAAAAAAGCTGGCCCAACATAATTTGCCATTTTGTAAAAATCAGCAGCTGTGAATTTGTAACATAGTTTGCCTCCACAGTGTAAATGATTTACTGTTTGCTACCTTTTATACATGACATGATCTTTTTAGTCCTACAGGGCCACCTCAGGCCTCAGCACACATAGAGTATGAACAATAATGAAAGGCATTTCCCACTCTAAATTGAAAATAGATATTGTATCTATTACAGTTAAAACCTTGGTCCATTACATTTCAACAAGCAGGCGTTCTTAGTTATTGGGCAAAGACATGGGAGGAAATGTTTTTGAATTACAGTCACAAAGAAATGTAATTTAACTGCCACTCATCTCCATAGTTTGACTCTCATTACAAAAGTCCTTGGGTAGTGAAACAGGTTGTAATTACTGGATGTATGGTTCAGAAGTAGACAGGCTGGACCGTAAAATCACATGAAAAAGGATTCTGTGCTTTGTGGATCGTTTTAAAAGAGGACTGTTGTCTGTTGTAGTCCAGAAATCCAGAAATGAGAAAAAAACATCGGACAAAGCATGATGAACATTCTGTGTGTCTCTCCAAACTCCTCATTAGTGGCAGTTTAGAGCAGGTGTACACCTTCAAATGAAGCAGAATCCTGCAAAAGCGAGGCCTGCAGTATTTATTGACATGTTTTATTCAGTGACTGTTTTTTGGGGGGGATGGTGGAAGCAGAAGTTCAAAGTGTTTTTTTTCCAAGTTGAAAACCTGGAGCCAAAGACCAGAGACCAGATATGGATTCACACCAGCCGCGTTACTGAACCGCACGAGTGCCCTCTTCCTACTTCCCCTGCTTCCCCACCCATGTCTGAACTTTGCCTCCCCTTTTATCTAAACCACACCAGTGTAGTTGGCTTTCATCGTCTCGCACGGCTGTGACGCAAAACAATACCGACCGCTTGACACGTTACTTTGAATGTAATGACAGGGTTTACAAACGGTCCAGTAGTTTTACATAAAGTTGAGATATGTCGTTGAAATTAACCAGTCGCTAAGAGTGTCAATGAACACAATCTTTGAGAAACATATTTAGTTTTTTCCTTCCTTATTACTTTATAAAGTAATAAATCGTGATGGCTTCTATGATGGGAAAGCTTTTGTTGCCATGTGTGCGTGTGGAATTACTGTGCTCTCAATTGGCATACATACAATATGCAAAAGAAATAAAGACAAGGAATGTGTATATACAAAAACAAAAAAGAAATATTTAGCCACTATACAATATAAATATGCAAAAGTATGTATACACTTAAACAATATGGGATGATGTTTGATAATTACTTCTGCATCATTTTTCTGTGCGCTTTCATCTCTTTTGCGCGCCCTTCCTTTGCACGCTCAGCCATCACATCCTCTCCCTGTGCCTTCCTCCCCCAGGATACCAGAGGGTCAGGCGGAAGCCGGCTCCCTGGCTGCGGGGAAGCTGCGCTCCCTGGAGGACCAGCTAACCAGAGCCAAGCAGAAGATCCACAGCTTCCAGAAACTCACTGGGGACGGTAAGCAGGGCAGGGCCATGTAAAAGGTCGCTGGGAAGGACTTGGAAATATAAAAGGTAGAGGGGGGGGGGGGGGGGGGGGTGACTGTGCTGTAGAGCGGGCTCTTGTGAGCTTTTGCCCGCAGCTAGAAACTCCGTCTAGTCCGCTTCTAAACCTGCTGTGGCTCAGCAGTGGCGACGCCGGCGAGCGGGGTTATGAGTGTATTTGCCTGCTCAAAGCGCCGTTCAGAGGGGCAGCAAAGCTGCCGGGTTGAGCGCGGAAATATGTGAATGAAGTGCATGCGGGCTGAATGCCCCAGTGGCAGAATGGAGGAGAGAAAAGGGACGGACGGAGAGAAAATAAAGAAGGACATGCGAGCGGGGAGGGCAGCGCAGGGTCAGCCTTTCAATCTTGCCGCAGGGGAAGAGAAAGCTAAAAATATCCTGCAGCCTTTTTCTTTTCTTTTTTTCCCCGGTGAGTAGAGAACGTGGAGTGTAAGATACAACGGTAAAAAAATGAATATACAACCACAAGCACCTTCTCTTGCTCTAGGCTGTCCTTATCTTTCGTAGATTTTTCTTTTTTCATTTTTTTGTTTGTTTCTCTCCCCAGAAACCAGAGCAGCCAGCTGTGTTATCGATGTGCGCTGCTCCAGATTGTTGGACTCGGGTGGGGTGTAGAGTTTCTTCCTGTTGTCGGAACAGTGGGAGAAAAACCCATGAGACAGAGAGCCACAAGACAAAAACAGTGATCAAGCGCTCTTTATTGAGGTCAAAGCAACACCCTGGGACAACGAATAATAGATGACCATTTTAATGGTTATATTCCAAACCCTTCCCTGCCCCCATTAGCCTATTTAGACTTGTTTAATCCAATGCTGCACATTCTTAAAGACCTCTTGGCGGTTTTTAAGCCTCGTTCCTCCGAGCCGCGTTCCCGTGGAGCTACTTTGAAGTCCTCCTTTCTTTGTTTAAGATCCTACCTGCGCGCTAAATGTGAGCGCTAATGTGAGCCGCTCTCTCTCTCTATCTCTCTTTCTCTCGCCCTGCAACCTTGCAGGCCCCGGTCCTACTCAGGAGGAGCTGCGGAGGAGGGTGGACAACGGCGTCAAGGAGTTCTGGTACTTTGTTCGCAGCGAGGTGAAGAAATTGGCCAACGGCGAGCTCAGCGAAAGGCTGAAGTATGCAGACACACTCCTGCAGGACCTGGGACACCAGGAGAGGTGAGCATGCAGTTGCTGGAAGGTGGAAATGTGGCACAAGGGTGTGAAGAGAACTCTGATGTATGTGCCAAAGCTACCGTTCCTGTTCTTATGGGAACCAGGGTTTCCTCCCTTAGCCAAAAGTCAGGCGCATCTGGTCATTTTGAAACCCCAAAGTTGGCGGTGGATGTGCGTTTGATTCTCTTAGCTGTGTGTTGTTTCTTCAACTTAAGACGCTCTCAGCAAGTATTGGGAGAGTCATTCCTTCAGGATGTATTTCTTATCAATACATATCAACCCTTGTACACAGTTTGAATGATTCTTAAAAACTTCCTTTAGCTTAACAACTATTAATACATTTCCAAATCCTAAACTAACTAAACTAACTTCAAATGTAGAGTTTTGTTCTTATCTTAAAGACCAGACATTCACCTCTGACAAAATGATCAACAGATCAGTATTGATGATGAATGTAGTCCTCAGTTGATAGATTTGAAGTGCTAATAGTTGTTTGAATAGGAAACAGCTCAGAAACCATTTTTTCCTTGTGGATGTTGATCACAGCGACTGTTTACCAGCTCTGCCTAGCTACGATGTCCAAAGTTGACACATTTGACAGGCGAACTTGAAAGCAGCAGCGCTGAGAAACAAAGGGCAAAGGTCACGGTCACATTCTGTCTGTCATCTAGATGGCTTTCACCCGTCTCAATGAAGAAAGGCCCAATCACTTAGCCAAGTGCTTCATTGTAATCCTGCCGAAGTGGCTTACAGGGCCTATTGTCTTTGCGTTTGCTGCCTAAGCAGCTTTCCAGCGACTGATTCCTCGCTCTGTACTCATGGGCATGCTGTCAAGCACACACACATACAGTCCCAGACTTTCGCATGTATTCACTCTGCTCTATCTAAGCCCCACAGGGTTCTTCGTATCAGCTGCAGGCCAGAGGCCAGCACAGATAGGGGCAGAGGTGGAAGGAGCAATGAAATGTTTGACTTGTATGAAAGCGAAGCGCCCTCGTTGAAATTCTACTCAGGGTGTACGGCCCTTGTTGCAAACTTGATTCCCCAAGGGGAATAAAAAGGCTTGCAACTTTGCGGACATCCCAGTGTAAAACAATCCGTGCATGATGGAGAGCTTTTTGTTTCCACGTTTCATTGACATCTTGATCATTCAATAAAGAACGAGACAATACATTTAGGAGAATTCATCCACACAATGTTGTTAGGCATTATAAACGCAAGTATAGCTTGACGATGACGCTGTTGTGTTGTAGGCAGAGCCGTACATGAGAACAGGTTGAGAGATAAAGATTAGGTTAGGGAACCTCAGTTTGCTGTCTACTTTCCACCCAATGGCTCACATCACGCCCTCGACAGACCAGCACTCTATAGTGAAAGCATCCACATCCTCCCCCATCCTCCCCATCCTCTCTCTCTGCCTCACATGAAACCTTGTACATGCCTTCACCTTGTAAATGCTCTCCCATTGGTGCAGCACCGGTACTCAGAAAAGCTGTGCTCTGCTGCCAAACCCCCCTTCCTCTCTTCCCCCCCCACCGGCTACCGCCTCAGCGTCTGCAGTCTGAGCCAATCAGGAGCCCTGGGGAAGCCCACGAGCTTCACACACTGGCTGCACACACACACATTCAACAGCACGCACACACCCCAGTGCACATGGACATCAGGGCTATGTATTGTCTAAAAATGTTGTGCTTATGTGTGCTGTGTATTTGCATGAATATATGCATAAGAGCTCTCAGTCACACAGGATGTGACTGATTTGGGTCAAAGAAGTTGACTAAGCTTGCATAAGTGTGTGTGTTTGTGTGAGAGAAAGACGCAGAGTGTGATGGGTTTGCGTTTCGCCCCGTGGCTGCGAGTATCGGAGCTCTCGGGCACGTCTGTGAGCGGATGGTCACGATAGTTGGCAAGTGTCAGACATGACACAAATTCGCCGTCAGAGGCGTACCGATGGCAGGCTTAATCCAAAACGGAGCTAAACAACCAGAAAGACGCTGCTGTCATCAACCGGCTTGACAAACGCATCACTTTTTTTCTATAAACATCCTGAAAGCGCGATGAGCCTTCGGGAACGTCAAACACACACACACACACACACACTGTGCCGCTAACATATGCCGGTGGAGGTTCTTATCTAAAGCCCTGTTTAATGTGGTGGGAACTTATGTGGGAGTTTTACACAAACCACATGCCAGGGCAGGAAATAGTTCTCCACATGAACCCTGATTTGGAATAGAAATCAGCATCAATTCTTTTAGGTCGCACTCTAATATGCAAGTGTCTAAACTGAGATGTGTAAAATATAAGTCCATAGATTGTGTCAACATAGCTGTTCATGTTACTTTCCTATTTGGAAATGGAGAAACTGTCACATTATATTGTGTATTTTCTGTACATATGTTCTGATCCAGTGAAGAATAAAGTCCAGTCCAATGTAAATCCACAAGTTGACCATAAAACAGCCACACTGATTGATGATTGATTTTAAATGTCTCAGTTGTCTAGGAAAACCATAGATTAAAAGTATCTGAAAAAAACCCCGAAATGATTTTACAAAGTATAGACACCATAGAAAATAAATCCAGAGATTCTGTGATACAGCCTTCATCCAAATAGAAGAACACAAACACAGGCAGCAGGAAGATGCTTCACATATTAACAAGCAGCCGGAGTCAGAAATTCTGTTTTCCTTTTCTGTGTTTTGGATGTGAGATGTGAGAGTGTGAATGTTATTTTCCCTCAGATCCGTTCAAGCCTTCAAAACACATTGTTTTCCACCATCATGATTATGACACATAAATATTCCACTCTGATCCCCTTGACATATTGGCATGCAGACCCGGCAGCCGCAGTACACCAACGCCGTCCTATTTAACCCAATTAAAGTGTGTGAAGTTTGAGACTAGTTGGACTCTGTTCCCCGGTTGCTGGAAACAGAAGATTACAAAAAAAGAAGGTTGAGTTCAACCGGTTGTAAAGTTTCCTTTGTGCATTTTCTTTTTTTAATTGTTAATAACAAGGTCAGCGGAAGCCTTCCATCATTCTCCCTGAACAGGCAACAGCTAATTTTCCAAACTAGACCATTCAAAGTTGAGATCTATGTATCTCGCAATCACTCACTTTCCTGGGTGGAAATCCTGCCGCACGCTTTCCTTCTCCTCCTGCGCTGCTGGTTTAGCTCCGCCCCTCTTGCCACAGACTCCTCCCACAAGAACGCTTGGTCAGTGCTCCTCGATGTATGGGACTGACGTCCCACGTCACTGTCAGACTGTCAGAGAAGGTGGGCTGCACGTTGCTGTGAATTACTTCCAGTGGGTGTGTTCTAATCCGTTGGAATGACAACCAGTCTTCAGACGTTACCCTCGCTGTCAAAAGGATGACGTAAATCATCTGAGATGTTCAGTTGCTGCGACATCTGCTGTTTAGAGATGTTTACAATTTTGATGTGATGTGGCCAAACATTGTCTTTTTTAATGAGATAAAAAGAGAACTGTAGATCCTGGAGGTTCTTTTCAAAGATTATTAAGTAGCAACCTCTCAGATAGAATTTCTTTTCTAATGGATATAATATATGAACATTTACAGTTTTGAAATGTGCATGTGTCTGCAGATCCATCATGACGGACTTGTACTACCTCAGCCAGGCGGACGGAGTCGGCGAATGGAGAACGAAGGAGGCTAAAGACCTGTCCGATCTGGTCCAGAACCGGATCACCTACCTACAGGTATCTATGGACCCACCTGCAGCCAACTGGACTTGCGCTCTCTTACTTACACACACACCGCTTGTACTGTAGACACAAGCGCATGGTAAGCATTTACGTGAATGTTTCCCTCACAACAACACGTTACAACTTCACGTTTACCTTTTTGAGGACATCCTTCACAGTCACTTGTCTCACACGCGCCACCCATAACTGTCGGCATCAATTTGCACAGGGAGCAAGTGATTGGTGTGATAGCAAACCGTCTCGGCAGTTGGATCTGACAAGCAGGGTTCTTGTTGCTTGTCAGCGATTTAGTGACACACGCACGCCAACGGCAAAAGACAGACACACAAATGCAGACTTGCAAAAATGACAGATGCACACATATTAACTCCGGCTAAGATAGAGGCGCGTATGCTCACAGCACTCGTGCACATCCTGAGACCCACGACACATACATGCAACCCCTCCTCCCGGACCGGCTCCGGTGTTGCCGGGTTCCCGGGCGGCGCGGCGCGACACCGGGCCCTGCAGCATTAATGAGCCGGTGTGTTTGATGAAGAGGACCCAGTCAGTCTGGCTGGGCGGGGACAGCACCACTAACAGCTGCTGTCACCACCGCTGAGGGATCACACCGCTCCACCAGCTGCTGTCACTAATTCATCACACACAGACGCACACGCCGAGTCGCGTGCAGATGGATTCGCCCGCACCTACGAATGCAATTTGGCGCAGGCAGACACAAAGTCGAGAGATTGATGCATCGGTTGGTATGCAAAGAGATGCCCTCTCTTGTGCGTGCGTGCGTGCGTGTGTGTGTGTGTGTGTGTGTGTGTTGTGCTTACCCTCTCGCTCACACATCTCTATGAACATACACTGACAGACTCCGCCCTCCAATCCTGCTGCCTCTGCCACCCGCACCAGCCTCTCCCTTCACTCCTGGCTTAACTAACTCGTTCTCTGCGTCCGCTCCATCTGTCCACTCACGACGGTCACCGATCAAGGCCGGCTTCCTCAGATGGCTTTCTTTTGAACAAGCTTTTCATCTATCTTGGTATTAATTATTAGTGAGGAAGACGAGTATTTTTCGATCCAAAAAAACAATGACAAAAACATTTGTCCCTCAATTAGCCTGTTCAGTATACTTGAATGTTACAATGTGTGAAGAGGCTCTAATCAGTAGATTTAAATTACTATGAGGAACTTTGGCTGGTTGTAAAACGTATCTTCATTTAAAACTATATGACCTATAAAAACTGATGTGCACCTACTTGTCACATGCTGAAACCTGGCTAGACCGCTTGGCGTCCCCTTTCCAACGCACTTGGTAGCCCAGCCCATCGAGTGATGGCGCTCCCAGATAGTAAAGGGTGCCTTTACCGTTTTTCTTAATGCTTGTCATCGGTCCGATTTCCCGCGGAAGCAAACAGATTTGCGGCTTGCCGGTTACTCAGAAAGGCCTTCAGCTCCGACTCCGGCTTTGATCACCTCAAAGGTGATATGAGAGTGTTGTGCTTATACGCCTCGTTGAAAGTAATTCTGTTTTTTGTCATGTTTTTTTGACATGTTTTTTGACACCTCCCAGAGTAAAATTCAGAGTGGATGGTTTGTGGAAAGACGAGAAGGAGAGAAACGGGTGTGTCTGCATCATCATTTTGACACAGAATAGGGAACCTGAAGTCAAACGTGGTCTTCTGCATTGTGTGAAATTTCTTCATCGCACAGGCTCCTGATTTCCACAACTTGTCCAGTGCGCACATACATCCTTTTCTGTGACTCCCTCGTGTAGGTAAATCATCTCAGTCCATTAGTGGAAAAGGCAAGCTCGGCAAGAATTAAATGAAATATTCAAACCAAGAGGCAATTAGAAAATGCAAAACGTTGAATAGCTTTTACTGAGAAATATTACCAGCAGTAAATGGTACAAAACCAGGGCTTGATATAATAGAATTAGAGTTAAGATCTTCTGATGTGTAATATTTGGGTTTTCTCTCAGTGGAGCTCAATGATAGTTGAGCGTTGTGGAGCTTTTTGCTCTTGCTAGCAACTTATAGCAAATACAAAGTATTTGTAAATGAGGACATTATTTCCTCTTCATGCAAAACAAAGCTGTCATTACAGGTGGTTTTCCATTGAATAATAAAAATAACCGTACTATTTTACTACATTATACTACATTACTATTTCTAGTAAATAGTAAAAACAAATGTAGTTGAGTTAGGCCTGGGCGGTTACGTTAGATCAGAAAACAATTTATTGCAAAGTCTGTCAAGCCTCTGGTGGCAACAGCCCCAACAAGCTAACAGGCTAACGAGCTAACACTCAGCTACCGGCCTCCTCTTCGGGGTCAATGAATGAATGTGTTTACTCGAAAAAGCTAAAGTTATACAGACACATACCGGGATACCGTCAGAATCTAAATACGGTGATATGGATTTTGGGCCATACCGCACAGGTCTAAGTTGAGTTATGCTTCAGATACCTTGAAGCGTGAGCAGCATCTGCCGCTGTGCTTTAGAACTTGGCCATCATAGTGGATAGATACTTGAGCCTGACACACTGTTTCTCCAGTGGTTCTCAACCAAATTCCACCGCACAAACAATACCATTGAGGTCTTTCTGGAGCGGCTGCCTCTTTGTTTCACACTCAAAAAGCAAAGCGTAAAACGGGCACTTAACCTGCATATGCATATTCTTTTGCCCCTGTCGATTATTAGTACAGCGAGTTAGCTATTCTCACCCACGTGAATAGCTTTCAACTGGCCGCCTGTAAGGCGGGAGAAACACCTGCGCAGCCTCGTCTTTTCAGCGGGTCAGGGGCCCGCGCTACGCCTCCGCAATGGGATTGAACAGCAGTGGTCGTAATCAGTTTTTTTTTTTTAAGCTTCTGTCTTATTTTGCAACGCGCCTCTTTCGTACTGCCTCTGTCCTTGTTCCTCATTTCATGTCCGCTGTGTCGCTATCCTCTCATCTCCTCTACTATTCCCGTCCCCTCTCGCTCCGTCTCCCTCTCCCTCGCCTGGCAGTGTGCGATAGGCAGCGCTAGCCGCTGGCTGCCGCGCGGCCTGATTACTGTGAACTATCCACAGCTGCAGCAGCCTAATGAGGAAAACACTCCCATCAGCCGGTAATTGCTGTTTAGGAAGCCGGTTGGCACCGGCGTTGCGCCGTGGCTCCGACCGGCTGCCGAGCGAATCACAAACCGCCCGGCGGCGCACCGACAACACAGCATGTGTCGCTCTGTTGGCTGGCGAAAATGAAGAATCCTCGGTTCTTTCCCCGGTGCCTCTCATTTGGCGTTCCTCCCCTTCGAACTGTAAGATGTTCAAGCTAAATTAAGCATGATGAATGAGAGGGAGTGGAGTAGAAAAAGGAGGTAGAGAATGGTGGTATGAAGATGGAGGATGGCAGAACATGGGGAGGGGGGAGGAGAGAGGTGAAAGGTTACTAATCAGGCCGACCGCCCCCTCTCGGAAAAAACTGCTATCTACAATAAAACAATGTTAAAGAAACTCCATTTGGACTATTAGAAAGAAAGAAACTAGAGCAGATAGTAGGCGATTAGACCGTTATCTGGTCCTAGAGACTATGAATTGGCAGGCGATCTCTGTCCTATTAGAAAACAGACACAGAACATAACCAAGCGCTGTCTCCATGTGCACAGATTGGCAATCAAAAAAGGGAAGATGGAGAAAATCCTGGCAGCCAAGAGAAAATAGAACATGTGGCCATTATTCGACAGTTGAGGCTGTGACAGAATACATCTCCTACAATGTCCTACATCCAAGGGAATATGGAGCGTTTACTTTAACAGGCTCAACTTTAATTTCCGATTCCAAAGAGCTTAATTGCCTCTCAAATTAAAAAGTACTCCTTGGAGAAAGTGACTTGGCATATCTTGCTGCCCAGAACATATCAACATGCCACAACCAGAGGGACTGTGAAGGACACACGCATTCAGTGTAATGTCATCCGCATTACTGTGATTACTGAGGGAATGATGCTGTTTTCTCCATACTATTCATTAATGTTAACTGGAGATCCTTTTCAGTATGGCTACTGTACCCCTTCATCACACAATGAAACAAACACATGCATAGGATACAGTAAGCCCTATTGTGGTTTAAATTAATTGTTTCCGACTTAGCCTGCGAATTAAAAGGGGATAAATGATGAGAGTACAGACAACACCGGGGATTAATGAAGGCTTGATATAAAAGGATAAGGCTGGAGATTGTTCCTATTGCCAACAAATACCAAAAGACCAAATCCAAAGAATACATCTCTTTATAATTTCTATCCTCCCCCTGTTATTGGCTCGCTGGCCCACTGGCTCCTACTGACAACTTGTTAACAGTATCCAAGAAATATGCCACTTAGTGCAGCGGTGGGGGTTATTTATGCGTTTTCATAAAAAACATCTATATCGGGCTTTGAATACACTGACAATACTAGTTACCAAAGCCTAATACAAATATAGAACATTCTTTAACAACAAGAAGGAAAGAAGCGGGGGTCGGATGGAAGGAAGATGGGAAAGGTAGTGTGAGTCATTTCCATGGCTGTCATCTAGGGAGAAGAAAAAAAAATAGAAGGTACAGAGAGAGAGGGAGACGCGAATCGAGAAACAGGCATAAAGTATGAGTATGAGACGGACAAAGGGAACAAACAAAACCATATCAGCCATGTGTTTATTACAAGTCCGAGCGCAGGGCTTTGAGAGATCCAAATAGAAGGTCAAGCAATAAAAAAACATTCCTTCCCGTCCTCCTCCCAGAACCCCCCTGACTGCAGCAAGGCGAGAAAACTGGTGTGCAACATCAACAAGGGCTGCGGTTATGGCTGCCAGCTCCACCACGTCGTCTACTGCTTCATGATCGCCTACGGCACCGAGCGCACGCTCATCCTGGAGTCCCACAACTGGCGCTACGCCCCCGGCGGCTGGGAGACCGTTTTCCTGCCCGTCAGCAACACCTGCAGCGACCGCGCCGGGGCCACCACTGGACACTGGTCAGGTAGGTACCAAGGTTATTATCGTTAACGAAAACTAACAAAAAAACGAGATGTGATTTTTTTTTTTCGTGAGGTCAAAGTATGTAGTTCATATTTACCTCATTTTCCTTTGCTAATTTGTTGTTGGCCATTTTGCTTCCACGGAGGGCGTCCTCTGTGACCTCTAACAACCTCTAGAATACAATATTTACACCACTTTCTTCCAACAACAGTTTCCGATTCTCTGCGTTGATTCAATTTCCTCCAGTGGCCACAGATGGTATTACAACGGAGAATCTCCTGTATCCCAAAAACAAAGTTCCGCAGAGACCACTTTTGTAGAATAGAGACATCTGTAAAACTGTTCACACGTATACACGTGTGCAATTATTACTCCAAATGGGTTACATCTGTGTTTCAAAAGCCCCAAATACTTTTTTTATGAACGTTGTCCCACGTTTGTGTCGTGTCTTGGGAACGAGAATGCTTCCTTGGTTAAAGCAACAGCGGTACATGTGTAGAATACACTGTTGTTCAATAGTTTTGGGTCAGTCACAAATGTCGTGGTTTTCCCAGAAAATAATTTAGTTTTTTAATTGAATTGACTCTTCTCCACCACCCGAGGAGCCCCAGACCATCACATTGCCTCCACCAGGCCTAACAGACGGCATGCAGCCATCCTCCAGCATCTATTTGTTTGGCCAGTGCCTCACCCACGTCCTTCTCTGAAATCTAAAATCCGTCAGTCCTTAACACTTTCTTCCAGTCCTCCGTGTCTTTTTGTTACTGGCCAGTCTGAGACATGGATTTGTCTTTGCACCATCCCAGAGTGGCCTCTTCCCTGTTGACGCCTCTGTACGCCTTTGTAGACGTGTCATTAAAAATCAGCTGTTTACGTGTGCGGGATATTTCTATGTGACCTCAAACTTCCACCGTGTTCAAGGCTCAGCTAATTTAGTACCTGGTATCGACACACCTTGGACTGGCGATCGATGCGCTTGTTAGGGGGACATACGTCTCCCTGTCAATTCACAGGCAGCAGAATCATTGACGAGTGAGATTGCACACAGTGGATAATTTAACGGCATATGTTCGTCTGTTAAGCTGACTGGGATGATTTTGAGGTTTTACTAGACCATGCCTCTCCCCCTTGCATTCATGTGCTGATCACTGCATGCAATCAGCTCTACGTATTTCTCCTATCGCTTCATTTGACTCGTGCTCTCCCTTCTCATCTGCTGCTCCCTTAGTGCATTCGCTTTCTTATTCTCCTGCCTTTTCATCCTTTTCCACTATCTAGTATCTCTCTCGGGTTTCTGTTTTACAGACCGCCTCCTATGGACCATGCATACCATCTGACTGCTCCCAGTCAACAGCACAAGAGGCCTTTCAGCATTCTGAATTATTCTCCTCGTGGGTCTTGTAATTAGCAGGGGCAGTTCTTTCTGCTAACAAGCATAGCATAGCTAATGTAAGCCTGTTGGGTTCCTGGCTACTCCTGTGGTCATGTCTGGTTTGTTTACAGGCTAGGTACTATACTCCTTGGCCACAAAGGCACACCGAAGCCTTGGATTAATAAAGAGATAAACAATGAATGTCTCGTGGATTGGAGTGTTTTCCCGTGCCAGTACAACTGATGCATTTGGATATGTGCCTGAATTTGCAAGTGTTACAGTATATTATCTGTGTTTTATTGCTATCCATGCAAAGGGCTCGTGGTGAAGTGTGTGCATTGTCCCAGGATAGCAGGGGGCTTTGCAACTTAGAGACATTTTTCTCTTGTTTCTCATGTTTTATCATTCCTCGTTAATACCACCAGTGCTATTTCCTTAATGTTGTGTGTATGTGTGAAATCAACATTATTGGTATTTGTTGGTTTTATTTCCAAAATACCGAAATAATAATCGTTAATATTTTTTAAATAAGTTTGATAATATCACTAGGAATCTTAACAAGTCCATTAACCCATTGGTGCACGTTGCTGTTTTACGACAACTTGTATGTTCAATGGACAACATGAGAGAGCTTTTGGCGCGGACTAAATTCACAAAGGGGAGACTTGTCTCCTCGTGGAACAATGCTTCGCTGATCAAAGAGCTAATTTGCCAAAGAGAGTATTCCTTTGAGCTTCTCGGTAGAGACATTACTGCCTTATGAGTGAGTCAGAGAGCAGCAGAGGAAACATAATGTCCCCCGCCATGTAAAGGCTGGAACAAGAGCTGTGCAAGTTCATAAACCTCATCTTATATGTATTATAAATGGAAAGGCTCCTTACTTTGTGTCTGCGTGGTGCCACTCTTTCTTCAGCAGCTGTGTTAAGTATGTATTAGATAAGTTATGCATCACAGGCTTAAAACACAGTGCAGGAATTCTGTGTCGGTTCAGGCCCATTCGCTTTGAGGCGCATGGACACTATGCCCACGCTTTGTAGTTGGGAGGAAATTTAACAGAGCTTTGTGATCTAATTAAGTAGCTTTGGGAGGCAGACATGCTGCATCTTAGGACATTAATGCCAGGCTGTGCAGGCCTCAAAATATTCCCCCTTATGTGAATTATGCCAATGATGTTATATAAGCAAAGACAGGCATGGGAATCATTTTTCTGTTCAATATTTGATGCTTCCAGTCATTTATATTCAGCTCATGTTCAGGCGCACACGCACACACAAATTGAAGCCTCTGTTTCCGACCTTGTTTTTTCTCTTGGTTTTTGTATGTACCCTTTTTATCAAAGGCCACTTTTAATGGCTCATTATGCCATTTAGTTGGTAGCGTGTTGTCCATGTGTGTTTGCAGCTGTCTGCGGCAGTTAGAGAAGCCGCTTCAGTCTAAAAGAAGCCGGGCCTCCAACTTGTTTTTGTGTAAATCCGGGGTTTATTCGCACGCACGCACGCACACACACACACACACACACACACACACACACACACCCCGACTCCTTGGGTTTTAAGAATGAAACCGAGTGAAAGTTTTGTCTGCCAAGCGTACACCTTCTGGAGCGATGAGATTAGCTGGGTCTCTTTGTGTGTGTTTGTTTGTATACATTTGTTATGTGCTGTTTATTCGTATTCACGTCAGTTGTCTGTGTTTGATCATATTTTTTTTCGGGGGGGTGGGTTCTGCCGCCGAGCACACGCGTGTTCATGGACAGTTGGCTGTGATCTGGCAGTGCACGGGGCCGTCCCCCCCCCCCCCCGCCCAGGAAGATGACCTTTGCAATCAGCCCAATGCTCAACCCTCTGCCTGCAGCTTCTGCCAAGCAGCACTGTCTCTGCTCAATGCCAGACTCCCCCATCCACTCCCCCACCGCCCCCATCCTCCCCTCCTCCCCTTCCAATCCAGGTCCTTGCAGCAGCCCTTGGCCCTACGCAGCCTTGATAGAAAGGAGCTTAACTTGGCCTTTAAACGAGGACAGGCAAAGAGCAGTTGTCAATCATAAAAGCTGGATTTGTGGGGGTTGGGAGACTTGGATTCATGCGGGTAACAGAACAGGAGGGAATGCAATAGGGAAGAAGAATGATACTGAGGCATCTGACTGCATCACAACATCATGTTCTTTTTCTTTTTGACCAAGTAACATATTGTAGAGTAATTGGTTCAGTTAAAAAGACACTGAAAGGTTTAGTGAACCCAAAAACGTTGGTCAGTGTTGTCGTTGGCGTCGTTATTTGACTCTGCTGTCTCCAACCTCATTATATTTAAGAAAGCATAGTTATCTTCAGGAAACAGGAATCATGTCAGAACATAAAAATACCTTCTTAATCCAACGGAAAGTTGTTACAAGGTCACTCTAGAACATTTTATTTACATAGTGAAAATCTCAAAGGGCTTTACAATCTGCCACTCCTTATATCCGTAGAACCATGAGATAAGGAAAGTGCCTGTACAGGTTTTTAACTTGAGTAGGGCTGAAATGGTCAATCTGCACAAAATAATTCACCAACGACTTTGATAATCCATGAATTATTTTAGCTGTTTATAAACCGTAAATATCAAACATTTGCTGGTTTTATCCTCTGGAATGTGATTATTTGCTGCTTTCTCCGTCGGTGTTATTTGCAAACAGAACCCCGTTTGCCGTTCGATCTGTTGGCCTGACAAATCAAGCGGTTTGAAAACATGAGCGCGTTTTCTCTTGTTTCTGACATACAAGTCAATCAATTGTTGAATTGCTAAACAATGTTTGCGTCAATGATAATGAGCCCGATCCTCAGCTCCGTCCCCAAACGAGCCGGCCTGTTACAAATGCTCAGTACGTTCTGAATAACGAGTAACACTCGACCTTCTCCTCTCTGAACCAATTAGGAGAGGCCCACGATAAGGACGTCCAGGTTGTGGAGTTGCCCATAGTGGACAGCCTCCACCCGCGGCCCCCCTACCTGCCTCTGGCCATCCCCGAGGACCTGGCGCCACGCCTGCACCGCCTGCACGGCGACCCCTCCGTGTGGTGGGTGTCCCAGTTCGTCAAGTACCTGGTGCGACCGCAGACGTGGCTGGAGAAGGAGATCCAGCAGACCACCGCCAAACTGGGCTTCAAACACCCCATCATCGGGTGAGGACCCTCGACCCCCGTCCCTCCTCAGTGGGGCTCGCTCGGGCGTTTATCCTTTTTCTGTGCTTACGAAACACTTCAGTAAGAGTGGCTGTGTGGCTGCAGCGTCTCTCTGCCGTGACGTTTACTAAGGGCTTTGCAATCAAAGCAAACTGAAGAAAACAAAGACTTTGCCTCAAGGGCCTGCAAGTGGGATAGAAACCCTGCTGTGGGTGAGTTAGGAGGTTGAGTGGTATTAAAAGTAACTCAATTGGATGAAACCCTTTAGTTTGGCAGATTTTCTACCTTTTATTCTGCCTAGAAGGCTTTTGCTTTATTATTACGGATACAGCCATATTATATACTATATTCATTAAATAAATGCAATCATTCGTTCTTTTCAAATATTAAGCTTTGTTATATTCTGCCTTGTTTCATTTATTAATGTCCCCATGAGGGGTTTGAGTCTCTAGCCAAATGCAATTAAATGAACACTGAAGACCTCCTCATCAGATATTGGTGCGAACGCATTTGCATAGCAGGCAAAGCAAAACCGTCTCTGACAGATTTATATAAATCAGTGAAACCAATAAAGACGTGAAAAGAGAAGGATATAAAAAAGTGAAAAAAGAAAATGCCCATGCAGCTTTCTTTCTTTAAAGGATCAGAATGGCTGTATTCTGTATTGTTCTTATTACCGTTGTTATTGTAGACCTCATCCTGTGGGAATACATGGATATACACTTACTGCATTCAATAGATGGTGAGATGTTTCGTGTTGGACTGGTAGGCTGACCGACATCCTCGAAGAAAGAGAACTTCCTCATTGCACAACGGACAATGTCCACGTTTCTCCACAACACGCCTCGCCGTCTTGAGTGCCTCCCGATTCAGCAGGAGAACGGCTTCTCAGAAATGGATTCGACATATTTCGACAGTCCTTGTTGAACTCGACGTGCTGTCCGCCGGCCTCTCAGAAATAACTGCAGCAGACTTTGAGCAGGACTTCACACCTGGATCAAATACACTTTGCAAATCCTTTTTTTTTTTTAACCCACTACCTAACCTTACAGCGAGTGCAGAGACTTACCATATATTAGGACAATGCCAATAATGACTGCTTATCTGCCTCCCATGAGGCTGATTCCATCTGCCTTACAGTGAGTTGTGCTGTAATCATTTGTGAAAGCAGCCCGGTTGACTTTAATGATTCCCGACACTCTCACCTCCATATGTTCACAGTGTCGTCCTCCAGCTTCTCGCTCTCGCCTTCTTCTTTGCGCCTCTGTGAAAGCAAACCTTACTTTTTCTGTCCTGCTCTGCTTAATTCTGACTCTCTCTTGTTACACTGTGTCTCTCTCGCTCTTCTCTTTGGTTTCTACCTCTCTGCCTTTCATCACCCGGCACCTTCCGTCTCTTTCTTCCAGCTCTTTAAACTCTCCTCCCTTTATTTTTTCCTCAATTTTATTTTTTGCTGTGACTTATCCCAACTTTATCTCCCCGACCCTCTGACATCCTTTCATTTGTGATCGTTGCTCGCTCGTCATTTGTTCATTCGTTTCAGATTGTTCTCCCTCACGTTCCCCGGGCGCTCATCCCTACTTGCAGTTTCTCTTGCTCTCATGGTTTTACGCACAACTCTATCACTGTTCTTTGTGTTTCCCACTCCACAAACCCCCCCCGCTCTCCTCCATGTGCTCGTATATACCACCCTTTCCTCCCTGCATATCACTTAGCAAAGGCTCACTGAAATGATGTGCTGGGTAGAACAAACTTTTCATCTATTATCCCCCCTCCCTTCTTAGCGCTTCATACTTCCACTCTGCACTGCAACAAAGTGCCTTTGCTATTCTGTCAGCACTGTGGGGGAAGGCAATGTGTGCATGTGTGTGTTGAAAAATGGGGGGGGGGGGGGGGGGGCACTGTAAGAGATCTGTTGTGTCAATGCAAAAAAACAAGCAAGAGGGTGCGGCAGCATTCGGAGCTGCAGGGGGCGGATGGAGAAAGAGGGAGGGATAGAAGGGCAGCTCGTCCCACGAGCACCCAACAACCAGCAGCCGACCCCCACCCCACCAAAACCACTCTCTCCCCGCTGCTCTCTGAGGACGCGAGACGCAGGGAGGCTGGAAGCCACCGACTGAAAGCAGCCATCAGCACAGCGGCGCCCTGCCACCATTTAATGTGTCCTAATGGCAGCAGGGCTACTCAGAGAGAGAGAGATGTTGCTGCTTCTCTACCAGAAACCACAGCAGCCTCATCGCTATGGCTGGATTTACTATAGATATGTTTTATAAAATCCACTTTTAGGTTTATACCAATATATTGTGTGGATATGTTCAGTACCAGTCGAAAGTTTGGACACGGTTCCTCATTCGAATAAATGAGAAAGCCTATATAAATATTTATATATATATATAAAATGATGAATATGATTCTAGGTCAGGTATTTCTTTACTCTTCACTAAGAGATCCTCTGGTGAATAACCAGCAACGCATTTTTATATCCACAGTGTATTAATAACTTCCTTTAATGTTATTTATTCAATGTCGTTTTTTTGATCTGTTGCTCATTATAAAAGCGCTTTTTAACAAGAAATTGCGGCAGTTGACATTTTCAGAACAAACCTGTGTGCATGGGGACAAAGTAATGTGCAGCCCACCCTAATAGAACACTTTATTTTGGCCTTTCCTTTCATCTGCTACGCCTCTGTAATTTCAGTAACTTAGAACAACTGTGACATTGTTCTGTCATTCTGCAGCAGGCACAGACCCACTATGGTAATTTGTTCTTTATTGTCAGCTGGTCTGCATCCAGAGGTCAAATAATTCATTCAATAGTCAATATATTATTGTCTCTAACAGCCCAAATAAGCATCGGCGTGCTGCGTGTGGGAGGGTTTGATGTCTCTAATGCATGCTTTTACGCCCACCGCTAGGATTGTCCTCCACAGTGTGAATAGTGTAGGGGAAAAATTGAATTATAGAGGCGGTGGTGGGAGAGGTCTGAGAGGGGAGGCCGGGGGAGGGAATAGATGGCTAAGAGCCCGGCGGTGCCCTCAGTGCGGGTCTCCGCTGCTCTGACACACACACAGAGAGAGAAAAGGGTTCACGGGGAACAAAGAAGCAGAAGACATAGAAATGCGTGGGGGGGGGGCGGGTGAGATGGACCCTTACAGAGGATGGGAAAGCTTCAAGTCGAGACCTCTGTCTGATCAGAGACACCGGATAAAAGCCTCCGACACACCTTGTAGCCCACTCACCAGCTGACGCTCGCGCTATTCTTTTGGCTTTCATTTGCCACGTAGGAGCTGTTCCTGAGGGGGTGCGTCCCATTTGTTCCTCTGAACCCTGTACTCGGGCCCCCCCCCCCTCGTTCTCACAAAAGTGGGAATCTGTTCCTCTTGGAATTGAATTTGCTCCTCAAGGCCAGAAGTCGCCATGCAGATATGTTTGGGGGGTTTTGTAATTGAACAGTTGTGGACGGCGTAAAATAGCGTTTCGGCTTCCATCAGTTGGAGGGATGCGTCTGCGTCAGGAAAGGGAAATGTTTTTTCCCCCATTCTTCTCCTCACCAGCAGTGCGCTTCCTCTCATCTGTACAGCCGGGGACAGCAATCTCTCCGTCCTTGTGGACCAAAAAATGTAGTTTTGTTGGATATTTATCTGTCAATTTTACTCTCTCTCTATATCCAAAATCTCTCTCTCTCTGTCACTGCTCACGTTTTATTTTTCTCGCTATCTTTTTTTTTTTGACCCATCATTTTTTTGTTTGTTTTTATACCAACAATTGAAAGATGTCTACGGTATGGCAGTCTAGTTGAAGTCATTTTTAATATATTTCTTTGAGAACTTAATACACATCAACACCAAAGTTTGGACTAGTCGCTCTAAATAAGGATAAAGAAACTTACTAAAGTAATTAAATACAGAACTATGATAAGCTCACAAACATCCTATTTTTTAATAATACACTACATTATGGAGCCTAAATTTAAACTTCAAAGTACATGTAAGCAAAGTGACCGGGACACCATTTCTCCTCCTTGGAAATGTTGAACCACGGCACGACGGTTCTAAACAAAGCAGGGTGGCAGGAAATGTATTCATACTTAAAAGTGTACTGATCCCAAGCTGCTCTGCTTCACGGGACAAACAAACATCACCTCCCGGTTTAAAATAGGACGTTTTTGCAGCCGACATCAGTCCAGTTGCAATTCACTTTGTCTTTACTCACTTTTCCGATGTTTCTTTGTGCATAATTAGAATAATTAGAAAAGACGTTTGAGGGGTAGAAATGACATCACAGTGGTTGTCTTGAGGGACACCACCACATCTGTGTCCATAGACCCCAGTAGCCGAGAGCGCAGATGCGCCAGCCACCCTGTAACTGTCCGTCCGTGTGCCTGTCTGTCTCTAGAGTCCACGTGAGGAGGACGGATAAAGTGGGGACGGAGGCGGCCTTCCATCCCATAGAAGAGTACATGCTGCATGTGGAGGAGCAGTTCCAAAACCTGGCCAGACGTGTCCACATCGACAAGAAGCGGGTTTACCTGGCCACCGACGACCCGTCCCTGCTGCAGGAAGCCAAGACCAAGTCAGTGGTTGGCAGTGTGTGTCTCCGCGTGCGTGTTGTGTGTATGTGTGTGTGTGTGTGTGTCCAGTTGGTAAATCGTCGTACGTTTTCTCTCTAAATGTTAACTTCTCTGGTTAACGCTGGACTCGTCGTCCCTTCCAGGTATCCAGACTATGAGTTCATCAGCGATAACTCCATCTCGTGGTCGGCAGGCCTTCACAACCGATACACCGAGAACTCGCTCAGAGGCGTCATCCTGGACATCCACTTCCTGTCCCAGACGGACTTCCTGGTCTGCACGTTCTCCTCTCAGGTCGGTCCAGGCTACGCAAAGCGACAACGAGCCGCCTCGAGTACATCATTCACACTGACGGCAGGACAAGCAAACGCACAAAGGGGGGGAGACCGACGGAGAGGACGGCTGGCACAAAGTGGGACACAAACAACAAGGCTTCTTGGGAAGTGTCTTGTAGGCTTAAATAATACATTGAGACTGAGACAGACCTGTCAGCCAAATAATGAAAGAATAAGCAACTAGTTGAAAGTTAGAGCTAAAACATGGCTTCCGTGTTTGGGTTTAAAGGCCTGCACAGGATCAGACCGCTTGATGAGTTTATTTCGGAGGAAGAAGGATGAGAAAAAGGCCCTTTGGCCCTTTGACTTGTTTTTCACTGGGGACCGACCTGTATTCTGGGAACAGGATCCGTAAAAGGTTTAAAAATATGTATTTTTACCTGCCAATCGACAGGGAAGCGATGAAGTGGAATAAAAAGAATAATGTTCGGACGTGTGGTAAAGTTATTCTGAATGGACATGAATTGAAAATAAAATACGCTGCCTTCGTCAGTGGTCGTTATCCTGGAGTTCAGTTTGTCCCATGTTGTCACGTGACCAAACTGTTGGACATGTGATCACAATTTTGCTGTTTCTATGAGAACAAAGAGAACTGCATCCACGTATGAAGGCCTCCAGATGAGCCTGAAAGCTCTTTTATCTTTTATTATGAGCTTTAATGTTTGTCAAACTGCTTTTTCCAAGATGTTTGGCTCTCAGGCTCAAAATGTTTTTGCTCTTGAATTAATAATAATAAAAATAAGCAGCATTATGAAATGACAGTTGAAGAAGAATAACCAAGTAATAGATTTAACCTTCAATTGTTACCGTATGCAAAAAAAAACATTTGCTAAAGGAGTTCAATGTTTTGTGTTAAAATGGCGCGTCACAGAGCAAAGACAATCATCACTTTCCAGTTCGTCACAAGGGACTCCGGAACAATTCTAATAGTCACGATCGTGTCATCGTCAACAACCTCATTGTCCCATTTTCAGCCCCATGATTCAAAGCCTATTTTTCACGGCTCTGACATTGCAGTGGCATTTGTCGTCAATCATTCTGATCATCTCTGCTTCTAAAGTGCCGTTTTACTGTAACTTATAATGTGCCGTGATCAGGCTTTCTGCCAGCCCTGAAAATAACGCCGGAGCCTCATATTTCCTCCCCACACTGCGAGGATCTGACTCGCCCCCCCTCATAGCATGTTCCCTTTCCTCTGCAGCCTTGTTTTCAGGACGAATACATTTATAGATCTAAGAAAATAATCCCCGGCTGTGTTTCCGTCTCAGGTCTGCCGCGTGGCCTACGAGATTATGCAGACGCTGCATCCAGACGCTTCCTCCTTCTTCTATTCCCTGGACGACATCTACTACTTTGGAGGTCAAAATGCCCACAACCAGATCGCCATCTACCCCCACCAGCCGCGCAACAGCGAGGACATTCCCCTGGAGCCCGGCGACGTGATCGGAGTGGCCGGCAACCACTGGGACGGATACTCCAAAGGCATCAACCGCAAACTGGGCCGCACCGGCCTCTACCCTTCCTACAAGGTCAAGGAGAAGATCGAGACCGTGAAGTATCCGACGTACCCCGAGGCAGACAAACTGCTCAGCTCCCAAAAGAAGTAAAGGAGGTGAAATGAACAAAATCAAATAAAAGAGAAGGCGCGAGGATAAAAAAAATAAAAAAAACACACGCGGACTCCGGTTCCGGGGGAAGGGGGCTGAGGGGGCTGCTTTTGTACAGAGGAGGGTTTGCGTACTTGGTGCGCTGAGCTGGGAAGAAAAGAGAACGGCTGCACCCGGGGGTGACGGCAATGAGCACGCACTCCAGGTGTTAATGAGCGCGCGTGTGTGTGTGTGCGCGTGTGTGTGTGTGTGTGTGTGTGTGTGTGTGTGTGTGCACTTGTGTAAATGCCCGTGCGTGTAACAGGTCAAGATAAGACCTGCACCCTGCTACGCCCCCCCCCCCCTCCCCAGGGCAGTGCTCTGGGTCCTAAAAAATATAAACTGACATTTGATTTTGTCTAAAGGGGAGAAGAGGACATTCAAATCTACTCGTCTGACCCTACTCCCTCCTCTCTCCGGAACACAATAGGGGATACTGTTGGACTCGCACCCCCCCGCCCTCGCCGAGTGAGCTTCGAATCGATGCCCGAAAAAATGATGACAAACTGAGGGGGGGGGGGAGAAGTGTTTTGATTTTTATTTAATTATTTTCAGTGGTTTTGATTCTAATCTTGCCTTTTTCCTCTTGTTTTTACTTTCTTTGTTTACTGAATGTACTGTATCCTCTTCTTGCCATGCTCACCACTGACACCCCCCCCCCCCCCCTCCCCCCACACACACACACCCCTTTCCTCCTGCTCACTCCACTCACTGTGCTTACTCCATGTCGTCTCTACATGTGCAATTCATTTTAAAACCACATTGTGCTTTTATCGAGTGTTTTTAACGGTCTTAAATTTGTGCGTGTGGGGCTTGTGCATTGTATACTGTACAGTGTGCGTGTGTGTGGACGGACGCGTGCCTGCGTGCGTGATCGAGTGTGCGCGTGTGTGTGTGTGTGCGTGTGCGTGCGCTGTTTTAAGTCGGGCCACATCGACGATGGGCAGCGTGCGTTTTTTTAAATTCTGGCTTTCCCCCCGACTGAGTAGTGTCTGTGTGGCCAGCAGGAGACTGGCAGCGATGGGGGGGACTGTCCCCCCCCCTCCTCCTCCTCCTCCTCCTCCGCCCCCCAGCACTTGGAACAATGGTGAAGTCCAGTCACTCGGCTGGGGACCTCTAGTTAACAATGGTGGGGCTGTGTGGAGTACGGTGAACTCATGGTGCACACACACACACACACACACACACACACACACACAGACGTCAGAGCCGTCCCGAGGCTCACCAAAATGAAGCACTCCACCGGGATGATGTCCTCATCTCCGCTGTCCCTTCTGTCCATCTCAGTGTTTGTTTGTTCTTTTTCTTCTTTTTTTTTTTTACGTTTAACATTGCTGTTTTAAAATAAATGAGAAATGATACCTATGTTTCAAAATAATGATGCTATGTCATATCAAACTCAACGTCCCCATCATGAAGGCTATTTTTTTCATAACTTATGTTCTTGGGCATTGTCTTTGATAACCACGGATCGAATAAACTTGAGAAACCAACAAGGCGTTTTTTAACTTTTTCAGTCGGATTCAGTTCGCTCCTCCGTCTCTGAACCGGTGACACCAGCTGGTTCAATGAGGCTGAACGCGCTTCAACTGCTTTACACATCTTCCAAACTGGGAAGAAAGGCTGATTTTATTTTATTTTTCATATTTGAAGAGTTCATTTCCTAAAGGGTATCCATCTATTTTAGAAGAGTAAAAGTCGTTACTTGAAGTTCATCTTTTGATATCTCGTAGAAAGGTCGAGCCCTGCCTCTGAGATCATTTTGGGCATTCAGGATGAGAGGCGCACTCCTAACTTTAAATAAATCATTCAGTTAGTGTGAATCCATTTTCTGTTCATTTCAGAGTGAAAATCTGATTTTACATCCCAAGCTGAAGACCCAGATGAACCAGAGACAAATCGTTCATTCGGATATTCCTCCTGACGGCTACGGGACATTTCTCCTCCGGTGTCCTCCTTCCTACCTCCTGCTTCCTTCATGTGACCTCGCTCTGTGTGTCCTGGTTACTTTCTCACTCAAGGGGCTCCGGGACTTTCATTACAGATCCTTCTTCAATTCCAACGCGGATCTGCCGGCTTCAGCGGACAACCCGTAAGGGCGCTGGTGTGGAAATGAGATGTTTTTGCTACGTGCGAGTAGGGGAAGGGAAAAAATAGTTTTATTGTCTTGTTTTTCTCCTCCCGCCTCATAACAATCCGCAAACCAATTTGGCCCGCGAACGACAGAGCGTCGGTAACGCACGCGGCGCCTCGAGCGGCTCATCGAATGTCTCAATTCAGGGGGAAAAAAGGGCTCCCTCGTGGGCTTTTCCGAGCGCACGCGCTAACTAGAGGCCACTTTAATTAAAACGCTCTGGTTGCTGTCACAGTGGCCTGCAACAAGCCGCTTAAAGAGAGAGAAACGTTAGTTCGGTTAAATATTCCGCTAATTGGAGCCGTCTCCTGAAGGAGAACACTCGGGGGGGGTTTTAGCAGGCGGCTCGGGGGCCGCGGGCCTCACCACATGAAGGCATTCCGTCCCATCGAAGTGTCAACCTTATTTTTATTTTCAAGTCGGTCCCAAAGCAGTAGAAGCAAAGAAACAAGGGGAGTTGGTTCCACGGGAGTAAGAGCCGGATGTGCCTGCAAAGTACAGCTGATGGGAACGTCGGGTTCATTTTGTATTGGATGTAATCAAGTATTTGGGTCACCAGAGGTTGTTGTAAATTCCACCTAATTCCATCTAATTGTTGATGATATTTAATGTTCTGAGACTTAAATGTCTGTGAAAAATGTCACGCCATTGTTGAGATATTTCAGGGCCGAGCGGAGAGGAAGTGATCCACGGATCGCACGGCTCTATGGATTGATGGTAAATCCATAGAGCCGTGCAGGTGGCTGAAACACCAACTCATACTGATGCTAATACATATTCTGCATGCATATGCAACATGGAAGGGTTTTGGTATCGAAAGTTGTTTTTTGTTTCAGTTTGTAGTGTGTGTAGCGTTGACCAATCACGTTCTCGCAGGCTTCGGTTGAATTCAGGCAAAAAGGCCGAAGTGCAATGGCAAAAAATGAGCTTGTTGGCAACTCGGCCTCAAATCTTGCATTCATGTAACTTCAAGGAAAAATCGTGAACCTGTCGCTTCAACGCTCCCAAGAACCCGGACCAAAGATTTCAACGTGGTCCGTGTGACTCTGATGGAATTCATATTACTGATAAGTGGGTAACCCACCGCCTGCTGGAATTCTAATCTTGTAAAGGGCAGCAGAATTAATTCTGACTCAGTCATGAAAACGGATGGAAGGGGGGGGGAAATGGAAAATGATTATTTCCTCGCCGGCTTCAATCAGCCCGCCGTAGGCGCAGCAGCAACGGGTGAAGTCGGCCCCACGGTACCCGGTCCGCCTCAGAGCCGAGCCCAGGAACTAGAGGGAGAAACCCTCAGCTTGTCCCAAGGTAATAACCCCCCCTGCCCCCCCCCGCCCTGCCCCCTCTTCACTTTAAATCAACTCAGCAATTGGCCGCAGTTAGGCTTTTATTAGCTCTGTATTTTAAGCCCCACCTGTTATCTCGACACACTATAAACCTGATTCTTGGCACGGAGCGGGGCCAAGTGAAGCCGCTGTGAAGCGCATCATCGGTCAGAGGGACACAAGCATTTTGTTTGGCACACGTGCTGTACTTGTACTTAACCGTGATCACTGCTCTGAAGCCAATAAATCCAAGTTTCTAACGGCGCATGAATAAGTTTACCTGATATTTACCTCTTTAAACAAGAGAAAATCATTTGCCACCACATTACTCTTCAGGAATAAATGTTTGCTTCATACAGCGAGTTAAACACTCCACTCTGTTGGAGGTGGAGGTCTGGACAAAGATCGTTTGGATCACTTCAGTCTTTTAGAGTACGAGTTGAAGTTGAGTACTAGAAGTTTTCAAGTGTCTGACTGACAAACTGCTGCGATGGTACACAAAGTGTTTAAGCGTTCAGTTGTATACTCATTCATTGTGTTAGGATTATTTAAATATATATATATATATATATATATAATTACATGTGCATACTCATGCATGTCAGGATCAGTCAATAAAAGTTAATAGTAGTGTGATTTTATTCAAACATATCAGCGCGCTTGACAACAGTTGAGGCCGTTGTGAGATAACGGAGCCGCAGACGCTCGACTCCCGGTTGCTTTCTTTGTTGCAAAGCGCACAAAGGGCTTTGTGTTGCCAGCCTGATGAGAGCCCAGCGTGTTATTGACTTTGATGCCACAAGAGTTCATTTCAATACACGGTAATTATGCCAGTGACTGATATTGTGACAACATGTTTTGATGGATGATTTTAGTGTAGCGTAAAGAGTAGTTTTGGCCATCAGCACTATTGGAACGTGGGACTGCATCTTTGAGCAGACAATTATTCAGGATTTAAAGGGATTAGTGTTTAACATTAAATGCCTTTTTAGCCCGTTTCTAATAATGTATTCTGATTTAAATACATCATCTTGTGTGTTTGATTAGTGCCTGACATCTTACACAAACTCCCAGTTCAGAGAGAAACTCAATGAAACGTATGAAATGATTCCCCCAGCTCTACGCAGTAAACATCCAACATGTTTTACAGGCCAAACGTATACTTAGCAGCGTTTGTGCGCCGTGGGGTATAATTACCTCTCACTTTTGCTTTTACCATCAAGTTATTTATCCCTAGGCGATGGATCAGTACCATGGATCATGTGCAGCGGTCAGAACAGGCAGAGTCATGAACCAGAGGAAGAAACACCAGAGGGGAAGACTGGAAAAGCCATGAGCACACCGGGGGAGACCAAAACAATCTGGATATATATATATATATATATATATATATATATATATATATATAAGCTTCGTCAGCACGTATCCAGTTATGAACCGCAGTGAAATACAGACCTGAAGAAGATTACATCCCACCTGTATCCCATGTTGTCTTACCGCACTGGACACGATGTTGCCGTCCTCCCATGTACCTCAGCACTTCTTTTAACGGGAAAA